GGAGTGAACGAGAGCATAGGCCCGAACATACAGCCAGAATCATAAATAAACTAACAGGGTGGCAGAAGGTCTACACCTCCCTATTGGGCAGAGACCTAGTACTAAATACATCCATCTTTTCTATGGCCTGGTACACAACTTCCATATGGGATCCTCCCAAACACTTCATCTCAACTCTTAAGAAAAAAACAGGGGCTTACCTATGGACAGGAGACGCGGCCAAGGACAAATTTATCTCCTAAGTAGCCTGGTAATACATAACCAGACCGGTCAAAAAAGGCGGACTGGGGCTGATAAACCCAATAAACCAATACAAAGCTCTACAAACTAAATGGATAATCAGAATCATCCTACATAAAGAGCTACCATGGCATGATATGGCGCTGTACCAAATCCGAAATCTAGTGCCTTTCAAAATCGACCCACAAATAGAAGGATACCACTGGTTAATGAATAAGACATGGACTCCAAGAACACAAAACAACAGAGACAACAACAATCAGCAGACCAGCAGGGACCCCCCAAGTAAACACTGGAAAACACTCATCATTCACTGGAGAGAAGCCTTCCCGGAAAGAGTTAGAAAGCCAAGAATTAAGGAAGAAGTGCTAAGGCAACCGCTATTCGGAAATGCACTGATTCTAGATGGAAATGGCAATCCTTTGTCTTTAACAAGCAAGGGCAGAAGATGGAGAAAGTGGGTGGAAAAAGGAGTCTGGAAAATAGAGCACATCTGGAAAGAAGAGGAGAAGAGATGGATAAAAGCCTCTGAATTAAGGCAACAACTCAAAGGAAGCCATAACTTAGAGAAAAACCTGGAGGAGATGACAGTCAGTATACCGCTAAACTGGATAACACAACTAAAAGGAGAAATCAAATGGAAGTTAGGGGATTGGGCCACGGATAAAGGACAGGTGATGCCACCAGTAGCTCTCAAATTCGTAAAAAGGGTGAGCAATCAGAGGGATATAGCAGAATTCGCAGTACACGAACTATTGGACAAACACAAAACATTAACAAGGGTAGCAGAGGAAAACATAACAACATTGGAATTCAACCTAAATAACATGAGAAAAATAAGAACATGGACGCAAAAGGAAAAAGGAGCACCATCGGCTAGAGAAACAACCCCCAAGAATACGATACTATTCAGACCAGACAAGGACATTAGGGACCTAGAAATAGACCCAGTGGAATGGGGATGGCACGTCAGATCAGGTAGAGGGAGGGCAAAAAAGATAGTTAACCTGCAAGACTACACAGTGAAAACAGGGTACAGGATAAGGAACAAGACAACATACCCCTGCTCGGTCATATCAGAAAGATGGATCAAACAGCTAGGGGAGGAACATGGCTGGCCCTCTGGAATCCCATGGGATTACTACAGCAGTGTAAAACCCACTAGATTCAGGAGCCTACAATGGCTGATACTTTATTGGGCTGTCCCAGTCAATGAGTGGGTTGATAGACGAAGGAAGGAGGACCAGCGAACGGAACAGTCCGCCCTCTGCAGAACGTGCGAAGATAGCAAAATAGAATCACTGATTCATTGCTTGATTGAATGTTCTCACGCGAGCAAAATATGGGAAGCAGTCAAATCAGCCTGGTCCAATATTTTCCCGAATCCATTCCCAATGCAAACTGACTACCTACTTACAGCTAGAGACCAAGAAGGAATGATGAAAGAGGAAGAAATGGCCATAGCAGATCTGWTGCGAAGGGCGGCACTATGGACGATTTGGAAATCTAGATGCAAGCAAACACTCAACAACCAGATAACAACAAGAGAAGTGGCCTGGCAGGAGACAAAGGATATTGTAGAAACTGAAATCAGGGCTCAATGGAAAAGAGAACTAAAGAAGCAAGAAAGGTTAACAGATCCCAAAAGAAGAGAGGCGAGCCAAAAAATATTCGAAGAAAAATGGTTGCTAGGCCAAAAGATAGCAAAAACAAATAACTCTTTCATAAAGTTCCAAGATTGGGATAACACAAACCAATTCACAACCACGACAGATAGAGAAGGGACACCTTTGACATAAGATCAATATCAAAGAGATTGGTAAGCGAGATCACTCCAGAAATCTAGGAATAAATGACACATATAGACAGACACCTAGAACCCGATAGTCAACCATGAGATCTTAGCAAATATGCAGAGGAAAAGGTAGGGTTATAAAAAAAGGACAGACCATCAACAAAAGCACAGGACTCCCACACGACCCCAGAAATAAAACAACTGAAACAGGGAAAGCTCATCAAACCTACAAATCAGCAGGCAACAGACCAGTTAGAGGAAACAACCGCTAGGGTTTAGGGTTTAATTAAGACCAAAACCAGCAGGACCCATCTCACAGGTATGTCCTTGGGTTCAGGATAAGGAGATTTTCCAGTACACAGCCCTAGAGGGAGATAAACTGATAACACTAACCCCCCATACTCCAGTAAGTTCACCAGGACCATACAAGATAGATAATCTAAATCMAAAAAGCTTAGAAAGCCAATAACATCACCCACCAATCACTCAGTAACACCACAACCAACAGCACAGATTCAACTTAACCAGAACACCTTCCTTGCATCCAGAGCCAAACCCCTAAGCAATAAAACACATACACGCCCCCCAGCTCCCTCACAACTCTCCACCTCCCACCCTACCGAAAACTCCACCACCCCCACTTGGCTATCCCACTCCAACTATGCTCCCCTTTACTCCAAACGTCCTTTCCCCGAGACTATACCTCCCCCATTAGTAGAAAAGGAAGGAAGGTTTAGGGTGTAGCGKCTGAGGAAAAGCAACTAAATAAATATAGAAGCCTCAAACGTAGTCTAAGGCTAAAGACCACTACAGCACATAGAAAGCAGGCCTAGGGGCATAGTTAAGGGTGCAGATGAAGGCTGAACCAGCRCTACCAGCAATCCACACAGATCTGACAGCCATACAGCTGARAGGAAAAGCTAGAGTCAGCCCATACAGGCAAGCCCTCTGCATCAACAAGACAGGTCCATAAGTCTGAGAGGAGAATAGGCTAACTTAGGCAGGGGTGAAGGGTGGTACATCCTTCCTGCGGGAAGTAATCAATGCTGTCCTTCAGGCCTCCACACCATGAGGGGGAGGAGCGTGAGTGAGTACTGGTTGTAATATTTTCTGACTTGCCGGTGGAATAGGAACCGGACTGACGCTCCCCAGAATGGAAAAGGAGCAGGTTTAAATAAAAATAAAAAAAAATAAAAAAAACTACAAATTTGACCACTACAAAAATAAATAAATAAATAAATAAATAAATAAATAAAATTGACCACTACAAATTGACAAATTGACAAATTGACAAATTGACAAAAACAACGTGTAGTAATCTGGTAGGCTTAAAACCATCTCACAGATGAAAATCCCAAGAACCACCCAAAGATCACTAGAAAAGACCTAATCTGACAGCTGTCCGTTCACAAGGACGGTCCGCTTTGTGTATTTTCCTGTATATCATTGCTGGACCTTCTTCTTCCTCTTTTTTTTTTGACAAAACCCGGGACCTGCTGGTCCCTCCCTCTGTGCCCTGTTGCTTACCATCTCTTTTTTTTCGTCTTTGCCAGTCCGTCCCTCTGTGACCTGCAGGTTCCATGCAGGCAAAGCAATTCATCAACCTGAATGGCAACGACGGTGGTGCAGAGGGGCTTCGGGTGGGGCAGCTGTTCGTGCGTCTGCTAATGGAAGAAGCAGGTTCTTTTTTAAGGGGTTGAGTACATTTCATCTTTTTTTTCTTTTTTTTTTTTTTTGCCTAGAGGGCCGCTCCATCTATTGGTGGGGAGCCTCAGTGCTACGAGGTGTAACGAGGTTGCCTCACAGTAGAGCGGGTAAGGAGGCAACTTAGGCAAGGAGGGACGGCGGTTAAGCATAAGAGAGAGAGAGAGAGAGAGAGAGAGAGAGAGAGAGAGAGAGAGAGAGAGAGAGAGAGAGAATCGAAAATGTGTGCTTTGGTCTGACAGTGTGCTGAATGAAGCGATAGAAAAGAGATGATTAACGACAAGGGGTAGCGAGTAGCTCAGTAGCCGATTGGGAGAGCAGGATGTAGGGTGGATAGTTGTGTGACATTTTTGTGTTCGCTTGCTCGTAGGAATTTTGTCGTTATTTGCCGGTCAGATTCATCCAGGTCCACAGCGCGGACCAGCCGTGAATGAGGTGAGATACATTTAAGATCGTACCAGTTTGCGTACGCCTGATTGATTGGGAATTGCACAGCATGCCTCACTCAGCAGCCTATTGCACAACATTTGTGTTCGCTTGCTCGTAGGACTTTTGTCGTTATTTGCGGTCAGATTCGTTCAGGTCCAGCCGTAAATGAGGTCCCGTACATTTAAAAGCTATTAGACTAAGTGTCTTTTCTGCGCTTGTCTACTTGAATCATGTGCTGCATGATTCGCTACTAGACCCCTTTTGTACGTTGACAAGACTTCAACAGACTCCTTCACGTTGACTTTGACTTTGACTTTGACTTTGACTTTGACTTTGACTTTGGATTTTGGACCTTGACTTTGACTTTGACCTTGACCTTGACTTTGACTTTGACTTTGACTTTGACTTTGACTTTGACTTTGACTTTGACTTTGACGTTGACTTTGACTTTGACTTCAAGTTGATTCAGTCCATGTTACGACACATTGTCACCGCCTTTAAATCGGGGTGTTTATAGAGAGTAAATTTCAGTGAAAGCAATGATTCTGCCTTGCTCCTTTTCTCTGACGATTTAGTGTGCTGCCGCTGATGTGTAAAGGAGAATCTGATCCATAGCCGGTCCTTAGACCGGTTGACTCAACGTGACTGCACATCCGCGAGCAGGAACGAGAACATATCTTTTTTTTTTTTTTTTTTTTTTTTTAATTTATTGGGTCCTTGGGCAAGGCCTCTATCCCAGTGGTGGTAACGACAACCTATCTAATTGAGGAGGGATTGAGATGTGTGTGAAGCTGGAAAAGAGCAAGAGGTAGGTGTTAAGGAGTGTGGGCACGCACGGGAAGAATAGCTGCTGTGTGCCGTACGGGCGAGAAGAGAAAGATGGGCGATCATTCTGATAGGTCGTTATTGTTGACAACAACGTGTGTTTTGTGAGTCCAGGTTGAGAGAGAGAGAGAGAGAGAGAGAGAGAGAGAGAGAGAGAGAGAGAGAGAGAGAGAGAGAGAGAGAGAGAGAGAGAGAGAAGGTGGGGAGGGGAGGGCGGTTAGAAAGAGAGAGTAGAGTAGAAAGTTCAAAGTGGACAGGATTTTTGTCTGGCATATTATGTATATCTATACCTACTAGATCTAGCAGCTGTATATGTGTGCAAATGTGTATAATATTGTGTACTATTACTACTATATATAAAGTTATATGTATACACTTGAGCAGCGGCTGAGCGGGTAAATAACAAAATTACACAGTTGAGTGCTGGTTGTTGCTGCAAAGAGGAGGAATACTAGCATTAGTAGCGTATAATTGTACTGACAGGCAGACAAGATGTTTTCCCGTGGTCGATCCTCGAAGAAGGCCCCCAAGCCCTCGCCCCCAGCGGCTCCACCTCCATCACCTCCATCAGTCCCAGCAGTGGACCCCCCAGTCCCAGCGGCCCTGTCAGACCCAGTGGTCGAGCCAGTCCCATCGGCCCCGTTGGCTGCGGGAGGTCCCACATCGGAGCCCCAGGACTTGGGAATGGAGGGCCCAAGCAGTGCAGAGGTTCTGAGCCCCTGGCCTTCCCAGGACCATCATGGACCCCATTCATCTCCCTCCTTCGGCATGTCTATGGACTCCCATTTCGGCCACTCGCGGACCCCAAGCATGGAGAACATGATCGTGTTGGGCAGTTACTCAAAGAACAGTCTTGAGGTGTCAGAGTCTGTGGGCGCAGACGACAGACGCTATGGTGGACGCAAAGTCCAGGAGAAGTGTAACGTGTGTCGAGAGTGGGTGGGGAGGGACGAAAAGGGTGACGCTTTTGTGCCATGCGAATGTGCTTTTCCAATTTGCCGGGGGTGCTACGAGTACATCCGAGAGTATGAAGAGGGGTTGTGCCCCCAGTGTCGAGAGCCTTACAAGCGTATGAAGGGTAGCCCCACGGTCAGCTCAGACCCCCCTGAAGCTCAGGATGTAGGGGGCGATGACGGCATTTTTCAGCCCCTGGGAAAGGCCGACAAGCGGACGACGGTGCCAAAGAAAAAGACCCCAGTCCTGACCACCGCCCGGTCAATGAAAGTGATGATCGAAGGGCCCCCAGAGGGGGACCCCGGTGACGCCAAGTCGATGATGGATGGGGTAAGGGAGAGAAACATGTCGGTGGTGCCGGTACCTCCAAAGACCGGCCATGGACTCGATCCCGTGACCTCCGCTCTGCTTTCTATCCAGATCCTTGATCCCACAAAGAACATGGACGACTACGGTTATGGGAGCATTTCGTGGGCGGATGGCAATGTTGTTAAATCGGTTGCAAGAGCTGCAGGAGGAGGAGGAGGACAGGGGGCTGAAGGTGGGGTTAAATATGGGGGGAAGAACATATCTGTAGATGACACTCGTCGTCCTCTAGCACGTGTTATTCCCATCTCAGGAAACTCTATCAATCCTTACCGGTTAACCATTCTCGTGCGCTTTGTTGTGCTCTGTCTGTTTCTCAAGTGGCGTGTGCAAAACCCCAACAATGGGGCCTTCGTCCTCTGGCTCCTTTCTGTCGTTTGCGAGATCTGGTTTGGCATTTCCTGGATCCTCGATCAGGCCCCCAAATGGGCCCCCATCACGCGAGAGACCTATCTCGATCGCTTAAGCTTGAGGTACGAGAGGCCCGGCGAGCCAAACAAGCTACTTCCTGTTGATATCTTCATCACCACTGCAGATGCTGAGAAGGAGCCCCCCCTTGTCACAGCTAATGTCGTCTTGTCCGTCTTGGCTATGGATTACCCTGTGGATAAGATTGCGTGCTATGTATCGGATGACGGATCATCAATGTTGACTTTCGAGGCGTTGACCGAAACGGCAAGCTTTGCACGAGCTTGGGTCCCTTTCTGCAAGAAGCATGAGATTGAGCCCCGGGCACCGGAAATGTACTTCCAGCTCAAGCTCGACTACACCAAGGGGAAAACCAATACCGACTTCATCAAGGAGCGGCGACACATGAAGAGGGCCTACGATGAATTCAAGGTGCGAATCAACGCTCTAGTTGCCAAGTCCAAGGAGCCACCAGAAGATGGTTGGAAGATGCAAGATAACTCGCCATGGCCCGGAAACGACAAGCGAGACCACGTGGGCATGATCCAGGTCTTCCTTCAACCTGATGGAGACACCAAGGTAAGCATCCATGTAACCTTAGCTTAAACCCCTGCCATCCTCCTGATTCTCCTCCTCCTCCCCTCCCTCCCCTCCCTCCCCTCCCTCCCCTCCCGTCCTTCCCCTCCCGTCCTTCCCCTTCCGTCCTTCCCCTCCCATCCTTTCCCTCCCTCCTTCTCGAGTCCTCATCCTCTCTTGCTTCCAATGGTAGTGGGTGTCTTGGGGGTGTGGTCCATGATTGGCGCCAGTGGAATATCACCAACTCAGGAATAAACCTCCCCATGAGAACTTCCGATTCGGTTGCCAGTAATAATACTGGGTAGGTTGCCTACTGGGAAGTCTCCCTCCGGCGCTCCAATGACAGTACCCACCTTGGTCGATACCCGACCTCTATAACAACCTGGGCTCTATATAAAAAAAAGAGAAACAAAAAATAATAAAAATGCCAGATCTTCCTCTAAAATGATGGGCTTGGTGACTCACCAAGGTAAGCAGCAATTTCACCTTGGGATCAATCCCTGGTACCCTACTGATTTTCCTCCTCCTCCTCCTCCTCCTCCTCCTCCTCCTCCTCCTCTCCCCCTTGTTTTCAATTGTGCAGAGGCGGTGCCTTAAAACCACCACTACCTCTGAGCCTCTTTTTCCCAAGGAAGAAAAGAACTGCACATTGCACACCAAGCCTTGCCGATGCACCAGCGTGACTTCCTTTCTTTCCCTTTTGGCTGACGCTGCCAGCCATTTGGGTCCTGTAGTAGGGCTGTTCATCCGAAGAACCAGGATTGTTACGTTTTTGATTGTCGACGTTGCCTGGGAAAGGTAGCGGTGGTTTAATTGCAGGTCTTCCCTCAACCTGACAGAGACACCAAGGTAAGCAGCAATTCAACCTTTGCATTAAACCACCAGTACTTGGCCCATACATTGGCCACAGGGCCCTCACGTTAACGCGCCACGAGTTTAGGGGCCGTAGGCCATTGATAAATCTCATCGATGGCAAACGTCGAGTCTACGGGCTTCTGAAGTCGCAGTGAGGGCCCCGCAGCCAATGTATTGGCTAAGTATGGTGGTTTAAACACTTCCACCCTCCTGATTCTCCTCCTCCTCCTCTTCCTCTCTCCGAGTCTCTCATGTCCAATGTTGGGCTGTTGGGTGCCTTTTTTTTTTTTTTTTTTTTTTTTTTTTTTTTTTTTTTTGAAAAGTCCAGGGTGTTGTAGAGGCCAGTTACTAGGCACACATTGATCGCCCGAAGTGGTCAGCCGTGGACACTCTGAGGCAGCGAGGCCACCAGCCCTCCCATCTTTTGCGTCAATGCTCCTAGCGCATCCCCTATCCCTACTATCCTACCTAAGTGTGACCAGCACTCAGGACCATTACCCTACCAATGGGCAGGTAACTTGGACCGAACAGCAGTGACCGGCACCAGGGCTAGCAACCCAGCCCTGGTTGAAGCATAGTCGAACGAACCTCGTCGTACGGGTACTTCGGACGCCAGGCTCAAGCAAATCACCTATTGGCCCCTAATTGACCAACTAGTAACTCACGCCCTCTACTCTCTCCCACCACACTATAT